AAAAATGTTATTAATCCCAAAAGTACTAGACTGATGTGTGTGATGCATGGCACAATTATATAAGGGATTTGAGCAGGAAAAAAAGAAGGTGAGGGTAGTAGACTGAAGAGTTGTGTTTCTAGGTCACTGGCAGACACTCTGTACAGAAGAAGCTCTTGAGCCAAGAGAAAAATAGGTTGTCATTTTGGCACCAGAAGTGGTGTGTGCTGGGAAGAAAATTGTTCCTGATGCACAGGGGAGCTGGGCTGAGCCTGCTGATGAGAGAGGTTAGCGAACCTTTTCTCTGACCTGGTTCACCCACAGCAGTCACCTCCTAATGTTTATTCTTTTTTGTGTTGAATTCAGTCTTTGCAATTTAGAAATCATAGTTTTAGTTTGATAAATTATCAAGTCAGAAGTCAGATTAAGACTAACCGTGGCCATACATCCTCCCCTGGCTGCAGCTTTACGTAATGAAGAAGTTTCCATCCTGAACTGAACTGTGCCACCTTCCTGTTTGAACTGGGCCCAGTTTGACAAGCTGGAACTGGAGTCTGAGCAGCTGAGCAGCTCCAGGCAGACTGAGGGCAGTGTAACCATGAGCAAAGGGGCAGTGCTAAGTGTGGGGATGAGGTAGGAAACACGTCTTCCCCTGGCACTGCTACAGCTGACAGAGGACAGGCTGTTAATCAGAGGCAAAAAAGGACAGACATTTCCCACCACTCTTGTCCTTTCTCTGCCTGCCCTGCAGCACAGTCATGCTCAGTACTCACAAGAACACCTTCAGGGGGTGCTTGTTAATTGGGTTTCTGCTGGTCAGGGCAGAACTTGCCATAAAGGTGTACCTGCCCCTTCCCATCTTACAGAGGGGCCAAGAACAATGAGATCATTAATGTTTCCCAAAACATAGGCAAACAGCACAGGAGCTTTCTAGGTGTAGTCATTGGAGTAAAGACCAACTCTGTCTTTTCAGCATGTCCTTGCAAGCCTGGGAGGTTGCTTTATGGGAGCAAGATTTGGGACAAGAGACAGTGTATGGTGACTCTGGACAACACCATAGCCCATAGGACAGTGTAGAAGGTTTGTTGTTATTTAGAGAGGCTCAAAGTGTTGTGTGAAATATCTCAGATACTTTTCAAACATCTGAGAAAGACCAGGGTTGAAAAGATAATAAAAGAGCTAAATCAGTAGCCCAATGTTTGATCTTATCCTAGCTAGAAGTCCAGCACGCAATGTCACTCTTGAAACACAGAAATACCAAATTAGCTATATTTGCAATATATCTATACATGTAAAAATTATAGAAATAAGAGTGTTTGAATGCCTGGCTTCAGAGTGATGGATTAGTCTATATCCTTTCTAATGGCTAAAACCTTAGACACCATCAACCAAGTTGTGAAAGCACCCAATGGAGGTGCTTAATACTGAGAGATAAATAGTCACATTTGAGGTTACTCTGAGTTGAATTCTACCCTGTATTACACCAGGGAAACTCCATAAGCTGAAAGTAAAACCTCTTGTTTCCAACACCTTTTCCCAGGATACCATTCTGTAAAAGTTGTTGTCACAGCTTTTTCAATTAAATGTTTATTCCACTTGGAGTTGCTTAGAGGTGGTCAAATTACAAACATAAAAATGCAAAACATTTGTCAACAATTATTCGCTTTTTTCATAGAAATATTCCTGTTAACAATTTTCTGGGCAGCTCTAGGGATGCATTTTCTTTTCTTTATATTTCATTTCATCTAAGTTGTGAGCTTGGATTTAAATGTCAAATATCTGTAGTTGATATAAGAGGAATTTGAAATACCTTATCTCTAGTGCCCTGTGATTGAGTCTGGCAGCACCTGGAAATCTCTATCGACAGAGACTCAGAAGCCATCCTGGATGGATGAGTAATAATCTTCAAATGACACGAGGTTGTCAGAGCTTGTGTTAGAGCTGCCCTTTACAGGGACATGCAGGGATGCAGGTGCTTGCAGCAGCCCTTGTGGAATGCTGGGATTACTCCAACTAAACATGTGCCTGTTGCAGGGATGTCGACACAGGAGCAGGCCAGCCCAGCCTCCCTTTGCAGCTGCTTGAGGGCAGCAGGCACTTCTGGGGCACAGTTCACCTCACCATTAAACAGACAGCAAAAACAGGACTGATAAAACCTACCTTATTTGCTTAGAATATGCTGTGACTTGGAGGAGGAGAAAGCTCTAAGAGTAAGAAATAATTTGCCACATGCTTATTTTAAAAGAACAATTACATATGGGAACATGTCTTATATAAAGGAATTTATTTGAAGAGTGTGTTTTTAAACAGTGTATAATTATGTGCATCCTACCATGAGGGAATAATTTTGAACAGAATTAGGAGTTTTGTTTTATTTTTTTAAATAAACGGCTGCAATCATAAGGCAGTTCACACTCTGTTTAAATTGGATTCCATTGCTGCATTTCTTCTACTATTTATCTCCTAACTAAAAAAGAAATGAACAATCTCATATAAAAATCTGATTTTCTAAGGCAATCTCTCATTGCTAAGAAAGTATTCTGGAAGAAAAAATGGATTCATGGTGAGTTACCTTATACCAGTCAGTGAGTGAGCTCAGGAATATAAAAGTTAGAAATTAAGGTGACATAAATTTTAAAACAGTAGAGAAAAGATTTTATTAACTAATGTGCTCCTGTTGTGCATATATTACCCTCTAGCATTTTTGAATGTAACTTCTAATTATGTAATCAATGAAGATGCTGATGTTTACCAATGAAAGGATTTTTTCCTGCTCTGTGAGCAGAGCTGTGAATTAACTATAACAGTCCCACAGACCTCTGCAGCTCCCTGGAAGTACAGTATGATGAAAACAGGTTTTCAGCATGTCCTTTTAAATGGGTAGAATCTATGTGGCAGAAGGATGATATGTTTACGAACATCCCTTACAGACACCCACTGTGCCTGATAAAAACAAAATGAGGGGAAGGTGTTTTTTTTCATAGAGGCTCTACAGCAAAACAACACATAAATGAGTACTGGGAAGAGACTAAAACAGGGAAAAGGGAGGGTATTTCTGTGCTGCTGATTTTCCTCATGCATGGAAACATGCTAACATTGCCAGAAACCATTACAGGTTATTCTTATTTACTGGTGTAATTATAATAAACATTGTGTTTCAGGGATAAGTTCTTGGCTGTATTGTGTCTTTGACATCCAGTTCCCAAGCAACTCAGCAGGCTGAAGATTTTGCCCAAGCCCTTTGGAGAACCTTATCCTCATGTTTCCTTGCAGTGAAGAGGCTTTGCATGAGTCTTGTTTGCATTTGGCATTTCTTGGGGTCTATATTCAGCCAACCTTGCTCATCTGAGCCACTTAATGCATTCCTGCTGCATATGTACCCAGCAAAGCTCAGAAGTGGAGTCTAATCCAAGGGAACAATATGAAATGAAGGAATGCCCATCTGAATCTTCCTGCCCAGCGAAATTAATGAATGGTGCTAATGAATCACGTATTAATGCTTTACAGCAGATACACCATTGTACACAGGGAATGTGTTACGTGTTATTTTGCGCTTTTTTCTTGAGGGATCTTGGGTGAACATGACTATTCAGCTGTGGAGAGCAAATCTTATTGCTGTAGCTGAAAGCATGTTTCAGTTAATAAGATGTTAAATATGAGGCAATGTAAAAATCTCTTCTTCAGAGGCTGTGGGCACAGAGCATGTCACTAGTTCTCTCTGTAATTTTAAGCTACTTGCCTTTTAAGGAAGTGATTATTGATTCAGAATAAAAGCCAGAATCATCACTTAACAACTAGTATTTCATTATTCTTTGTACATGGAAAGCAAAGTCTTACAAACTGTGTCACATGTTTCTGTATCCTGTAACACAGTTGGCTGGGTTTAGTATTTTCCAGTTTTTGTTTTAAGTGTCTGTTGGTTATGACTACACCATATCTTCCTGCCATGACCATATACCTTCTCCTACGGAAAGGTGTGCATACCATCTAAAATATATATACAGAAATATAACCAAAAAGCATTAGATGAGATGTTTAAAATGAGTTGTTGGGAAATTGAAGTTTTATAGAATAAAATCCTGGTGAAAAAATGCTATCAAATTGCACAAAAATGGTTCCACAGGAAGACACTGTTGTAATAATATTTTCTTGCAGTTCAGTCTAAATGGGACTTAAAAAGAAATGTTTCCTCTTAATCCTGATGAAGCCTGAAGTGTAATGGATGCTGTGCTTAGAGTCTTTTGAGGAAGCTGAGAGCACTGTCAGAGGAAAGAAGATTACCTGGGGAGGGAGTGTGCAAAATTTAGCCTTCAGTTTTGGCAATCTTTCTGCAGAGAAAAACAACTTTCATTACCTGAATGGCAAACATGAAGATGTAATCTAGGTGTTTTCCTGGATTCATTCAAAATCCTTTAAAAAATATATAATGTGAAACATAAAATAGTACAAAACAAATAATACAAAACAAATGCAGGCACATTGTCTGTTCAAAGCAGTTCCTTATAATTAATCAGTGTTTTGAGGAGGAATTGTTCAGACTCAACATTGTTCCTTAATTAACAACATGATGTTAGTGAAATCTGTTGACAGAAGTATGGCTGAGCCCAAGCTCCAAGACTGAGCTTTTGGCTGGGCAGATTAACACAGACACATTTCATTTCCTCCGTGAGTCCAGTACCACAGAGGTCTCCTCACTCCTGCTGTAAGGTCATTCCATATCGCTGAATGGCTTAAAGGACACATTGCAAAAGTGAAGACTCAGGCCACAGGGAAGGGGGGAGGCTGCTTTTTGTTGTGAGAAAGCTATTAAAATGAGAAGAAGACAAGTCTTGAAGATTTATGTAGTTTCACATGGCTGTATTGGCTTCTTTCATCTGATGGAACGAAGGACACAAAAGTTGCCCAAAATGATATACTGCAAGCAGGATTTATGGTGATTTTAATGTGACATGGAGCAGAAAATGTGTTCTCAGCAGGATATTTATGCCTGCAATTTGAAACCTGTGCTTTGATTGTTCTAGATGATAGCAAGTTTTCCGAGGCCATCACGGTGCTGCTCACCTGGATTGAGCGAGGCGAGGTGAATCGTCGCTCTGCCAACCAGTTCTACTCCATGGTGCAGTCGGCCAACAGCCACGTCCGCCGGCTCATGAACGAGAAGGCAGCTCACGAGCAAGAAATGGAGCAAGCCAAGGAGAGTTTCAAAAATGCCTTAACAGGGATCCTCACTCAATGTAAGTAACTCCCTTTTTGTCAGTGTTGTTGTAGTGATGGTGGTGGTGGTGGTAGTGGTTTTATCATTTTGCTTGTTTGTTTGGGGGTAAGTAGTTGCAATGCAGTCATGCTCTACTTCACATCCTATTCCATACTCTATGGCAGTTTGGAGGATCAAGGACCATTCCTAAGAACTTATTATTCAAGGTGAGCAAAGTTTCAGTAGTTTTTTTTTATTAATAGATGAAGACGTGCTCTATTCACAATGTCTACTCTTGTGTAGACATAACACCTCAAGAATGGACAAGACAGAAGCCTCACTGCTCTGAGAAAAGGTCATGGTTTTTTTGAGAGAAGGGATATGTAGCCTGTGTGTGGCAGCTAGTTAACTAGGTCAATTGCAGAATAGAGCACAATTAGGTAATATTTTTTGCCTGTGTTTAGGTAAAAGGCAGTAGAATCCAGTAACTTACAGGGATATATTGACAGATAAAGGCCACCTCCACAGTAGAAAAGTATGCTGTATTGCTGCTGGCATCAGGACTGATCTGCCAGTATTAATTGTGCAGATAAACTGTCTTAAATATCTAGTGCTGGCAGCTATTTCCTTAGTACAGAAATACAATCAATGAACTTACCCTAATGAGGTTCCTTCATAAAACAATGATCAGGATACTTGCCTAGAAGTTTTCTTCAAAGGGAGGAGAGGAGATGAGAGGAGAGGAGAATATGAGAAAAAAAAAAAAAAAAAACAAAACAAAAAGGCAAGGAAAGAAGGAGAAAGAAAACTGATTTAATTGTTGGTGGTTTTTAACATGTCTACTTGTGGCTCCTCGAGGAAGGGGCATTATGATAGTCCAAAAGGTGAAGCCTGGAGCCAGCCCTCATGTGCCAGCTGAGAACAAAACCCAAGATAATTTACCAGATGGAGGACAGTGAAGTCATTACATTGTAATTTCTGAATCATACCCCTAATCTTTACATTTAAAAAAAAAAGCCCTAAAAGTTTTTGTGCAATTTATTTCTGGTCCCTCAGTGGGCATCCTTTAAAAGTTAGGGTTGAAGGCATAAGCTTGGATGGACTTGTCTGGCTTAGCAGAGCAGCCACTAAAGCTTCCTGCATAAGTGATGGAGAGCTCATCATCTCAGAAGACAAATTCACCACAGGGCATATATCCTAATGTAAGAGTTTAGATGCCAGAACTTAGAAACAAAGATTCTGGGCCAAAGACATTTGATTTCTGGGGACATATGTTCAGAGAGTAAATTTAAAAGACCAGCTAATTCCCTTGGTAATTTGCTAGGCATTGTTGTCTTCTGTCTCAGCATCTAAAAGGCAGTGTGAGGCACAGAGATGCAGGCACCATGCATGGCGTGCTGTTCAGTTCACACCAGGGCCTCTCTAGTTTTGTGTGCGACAGCCAGCTCTAGCATTCAGAAATGCCTTCTTCAGCTGCATTAAAAAAAGTCCCCCATTGTCAGCAGGCTGAACTTTAGTTAAATCAGTCTAAATTAGCCCATTTGTCACCAACTGTTGGAGAACATCTGTCACTTGGAAGTAGAGATCCCTGTAGTTTCAGGTGGAAATATGCAGTTTTGGCTATCTGTTTTGCTTCTGTAATGTGCTGAATGCTGAACTTACAAAAACAGAAATAGCTTTGGCTTCAAAATGTGAGTTTCCTAGTGCCACAGTAACAGCAGAGTCTGGAAGAAGAAAGTTTCTGACAGATCTGGCCTAGGAGGACAAGGTCAGCAAAAAGCATCCTCAGGGAAAGTTGTTACACTGTGGATTTTATAAGAACAAGTTTTACAAGCTTTCCATATGTTCCCCATTGTTTATTTTATAAACATCATGAACATTAACCATTATTAGCATTAATGTCTTATTAAAATTCCTTGCAAACTTGCTGTGAACAGATGGATAATGTTTTTCCTTTACACATGTATATGCCTAAGATTGCTAAGCATGGAGATTCTGAAATGAGCTTCCCTTTTTCAAGGAAATTTGAATTGATCTGTATTTGAACTGATTTGAGGAATGTTTTTCATGCATCTTTTTCCATTGCTGTTCCACAGTCCTGCATAATTGGCTACAATATCTCAGTTGCTTTATGAAGAAGATTTTGAAAATACAAGATGTCCAAAATAGGTGTGTGTGGCCTGTTAATTCTGCAGACTGACAGAAACCCGCTTCTGCTTTCTGTAGTAAGGATCCAAAAGTCTAGTGTAATGCTGCAGCTGTGTGGCCATTTGACATAAATATTACAATATTTTAAAAATATCATGTGGCAGTCCTCTCTCATGAACTAGGTCAGATGTCAATCTTGGAGCTGACCATTCTGGGCTTTCTTTGCAGTCAGAAGAGAAAAATAAGAATCTCCACAGAATGAGTCATCAAACTGACCTCATGGTGCTCTTCCAATGAGATGAATCATCCCTTGGATATGCCATTTTTTCTCTGCTGCCCATAGAGGATTCACAGGGGGCCTTTCTCTGAACCAGATGTCCCACTTTTCACATGCCTTCTTCAGAGGAGATTAATCCCACTAACTGTGTACAGCATTGACACAGATGGGTGGAGCATAAGGGAAGAACTTTGAGTTAGATAAAAGTGCCAGCAAATGAATGTTATGGAGAGTGAAAAAGAAATAAAATTGGCTTCAAGTGCACTGACCTGGAACACACACATTCACACACATACACACACACAGTCTTCGTGAGTCTCAGTAGAAAATACTTTCTTATTAATGAGGATTACTGTGACCAGAACATTTCATCTTATGGCCTAACTAATAAAGAAGTACAGGCATTGAAATCCCTGCTACAAATTTGTGCCTGGAGGTATTTAGGTGATTACTGAGCAGATTACCCCTAAAAATTTGGGTCAATTGCTCAGCACGTGAATTAATTACCTCATCAAGGTACTTGTGCCAGGATAATCTGTGAAATAAAGTGTATTACTGTTGTCACACCACTAATTTATAGCACCTGATTTAAGTGCTACAGGGACTCTTAGCCTTGTTATGGTGCTTCTTCAGTTATTTAAGGGATAAAGAGAGAAAAATGTCCACTTATTTCTTTTTATTAAATTACTTGTTTTTTTTAAGATTTGAATTTGTGCTTAAAGTATGGATTGTTTTCAAGGATTTAGGATAGGTCTGTCTTTGTGGTTTGACATCTATTTACTTCCACAGCTTAGATACATGTGACACTGCCCCTTGATTTTCCATTCATCTCTGTTTCATTTCCTCCCAAACCATCTGTTCAGCGTAAGGTTTAGAGATGTTGATCCCCATGTTTAAGGAAAATGGAGGCCCTAGAGATATCCCTGTTGGGCTGTTGGTGTTTTTTTAGACTGCACCAAAGCCACAATTTCCTCTTCTGACTCTCTTCTCCATGCACTGTAAACTTTGCCTACCTCTTACTGAGTTTTCAGACTGTTTAATGCAGTCTCCCTTAACAACACTGAAAAAGTTACCTACAGGTGAATAATATTTCCATATTCAAAAATTAATTTGGTATCTAAAGAGTAAGACACAGAAGGTGGCAGAAGTGTCCCAGTATACAAGTTCATAGGTTATACACATGGTGTAATGAAGTGCCCCATGGCTGGTTACTGATCAGATTATGACACGCCAACATTTGGTCATTTTGGCCCATTTTACAGAAGAACTAATGGACTTAGTGGACTCTGAAACCAGGTCCCCATCAGAGTCTATGAATCAGTCTCTTGTGCCTGTGGGAGAACAGCGAGAGGAGGGTGGTTTTTATCATGGGGCCCCCTGGCTAGATTACTTCACATGGAATCATAGAATCAGTAAGGTTGGAAAAGACCTCCAAGATCATTTGAGTCCAGCCTTTGAATAAACACCACCATGCCAATTAAACCATAGCACCAAGTGCCATGTCCAGTCATTTCTTAAACACTTCCAGGGATGGTACCTTCACCCTGGGCAGCCTGTTCCAATGGTTAACCACTCTTTCAGTGGAAAAATTCTTCCTGATGTCCAGCATGAACATGAACAAGGGGGAATGGCTATGAACTGAAAGGGGACCAGTTTAGATTAGGTATTAGGAAGAAACGTAGTGTGAGAGTGGTGAGACACTGGCACAGGTTGCCCAGAGAAGCTGTGGATGCCCCATCCCTGGCAGTGTTCAAGCCAGGCTGGATGAAGCTTTGAGCAACCTGATCTCGTGGAAGGTATCCCTGCCCATGGCAGGGGGGTTGGAAACAGATGATCTTTAAGATCCACTCCAAGCCAAACCATTCTATGACTCTGTGGACTATGAGATTATGCAGTTTACCTGCTTTGCCTGTTGCTAAGTATCTTAAGCCCTTACTTGTGAAACAGGAAGTGAAGCTAGATTCAATTTTGAGCTGATTTAGTAGGCCTCTCCATTTATGAAGAATCAAAGGTTTGGGGAGAAGGCTGTGTGTCATGTACCCCTTTTTTGTACTCTAACAATTGTCACCTTGAGTTTTCCTTTCCTTTCTTCTGAAGGACTCCAGTGGTATATTAGATTACATCAAATATTTTTATCAAATAACTGGTAGGTATCTGACATGAATTACACCTCAATCCAAAAAACAAACAAACAAAAAAATTAATTAAATAATTCTGAAGGGAAAAGCATTCTCAATAGACTGAATAAAATTCTCCTCCTTTCATGTTTCTTCATTTTCATTCTCTGATCTCCCTGGATTTGATTTAATCTGTTTTAACATTATCAATGCCTTCAGAGATAGAATCTGCATTTTTTTTAATGTTAAAAAAGTAAGAAAAATATCAAAAATACTTTCTGAGCTCTCTTAAAAACTATTGGCATCAGTTTTGTTTTTCCCTATACAGGTTCACTTCAGAAGTTGCTCTCTTGCTTTATAAAAGATAGAATTTACATTGATATAATGATGAATGCTAAAATCACTGTCTCATCTGCTTTCCTTTAAATTCCATACTTCAGTACTTTCTCCCTCAAATCCTTCCACTTTTAGTATTCTTATAGCACCAAAAATGAAGCC